TGTGTGTGTGTGTGTGTGTGTGTGTGTGTGTGTGTGTGTGTGTGTGTGTGTGTGTGTGTGTGTGTGTGTGTGTGTGTGTGTGTGTGTGTGTGTGTGTGTGTGTGTGTGTGTGTGTGTGTGTGTGTGTGTGTGTGTGTGTGTGTGTGTGTGTGTGTGTGTGTGTGTGTGTGTGTGTGTGTGTGTGTGTGTGTGTGTGTGTGTGTGTGTGTGTGTGTGTGTGTGTGTGTGTGTGTGTGTGTGTGTGTGTGTGTGTGTGTGTGTGTGTGTGTGTGTGTGTGTGTGTGTGTGTGTGTGTGTGTGTGTGTGTGTGTGTGTGTGTGTGTGTGTGTGTGTGTGTGTGTGTGTGTGTGTGTGTGTGTGTGTGTGTGTGTGTGTGTGTGTGTGTGTGTGTGTGTGTGTGTGTGTGTGTGTGTGTGTGTGTGTGTGTGTGTGTGTGTGTGTGTGTGTGTGTGTGTGTGTGTGTGTGTGTGTGTGTGTGTGTGTGTGTGTGTGTGTGTGTGTGTGTGTGTGTGTGTGTGTGTGTGTGTGTGTGTGTGTGTGTGTGTGTGTGTGTGTGTGTGTGTGTGTGTGTGTGTGTGTGTGTGTGTGTGTGTGTGTGTGTGTGTGTGTGTGTGTGTGTGTGTGTGTGTGTGTGTGTGTGTGTGTGTGTGTGTGTGTGTGTGTGTGTGTGTGTGTGTGTGTGTGTGTGTGTGTGTGTGTGTGTGTGTGTGTGTGTGTGTGTGTGTGTGTGTGTGTGTGTGTGTGTGTGTCTGTGCTATCACTATTCAGTACTGGGCTACTGGTGAGCCTAATGACTACCACAATCTGGAAGATTGTGCCGAGATGACAACCCATCCCAACTACCACTGGAATGACTTGACCTGCACAGCCAAGCGCCCGTACATGTGCAAGAGGCTTGTGTCAGCTGCAAGTGAGTAACCCTACAGGGGCGTAGCACCCGCTACGACTGGTACGGCCATGGCCGTACCACTTTTCGAAAAGTGTGGTCCGTCTGAAACGTGCAAAACCGTAATAAAAAAAATCAGGATCCATCGATGCATATGCGCATTAGACTTTGACCTTTTTCTTTTGACTCGTACAGTCGTAGGTCTACTCGTTGATCTGCCATGCATCTGCAGTCGTGCTGAGTAGACCTACGGCTCTACGAGTAGATCTACTATCTGTGCTCGACCCGACTGCACTGGCACGGTGCATGTCATGTGTACGTGTAGCGTTGGCACGGTGCACGTCATGTGTAGCGTTGGCACGCCAGTAAAACTAAAAATTTTATTGTTACTTTTAACACAGCTAGCTGCAGCGTGAACCTTTCAACGTATTGGCCACGCGTGTTGCACACCCCGCAGTTACTCTTATTACCGTGCTTGCAGACCCATGACGTGCATAGTAACTAGTCTCACTGTGTTCATGTATTGTTCCTACACATTAGGATGACCTGAGAAATACTACCACGTGTACCATGTGTATCCTGTAGACCTTTTTGATGCATTTCACTTTCGACCTCCTTTTCATTTATGTACACACATTTTAATGAAGCTTCCTTAGAATTCCTAATGGCTGCCTTCCCGGTACCTCTTTTACGCCCATTGCCCACATCGTATTCAGCTGTTTCTTCTGCATATAATCAAATGGCATTCCTTGTGCAATGACTGTAGCCCACACATCTTACTTTGACCTTTCCTCTTCTGCTCTACGTATCCCCTGGCCATAGGCCAGGCTAGCTTACTTACACTAACAGTTTCTCACCCTATAAAAAGCTGCTGTCACAATTCAGTTTAAGTAACATTAGTTTCAGTTCAGAGTTAGAGTTCAACCTTCAATCCAGTCTTTAGTTCAGTAATAATAAACAACAGTGTCACTGTGTTCACTGAGATCCGTGTGCATTTGCCTCCGAGAGGGAGACTGCGGCCCGGTACACATGCAGCAGTCCATGCATGATCCTAGGTCCTGCCTTGCTTGTTGTACTGAACTAACTTTTGCTCGAAATAAATATACTACTAGGCCAGGAAGTACGGACTCTCCGGTCAGTTCGTTTTCAGATCGGTGATGGCGGAGGCACCTTGGCCAGAAGTTGGCGAAGAGCCGTTTCAGCCAAGAGACAACGAGTTTCCGAAGCGAAGCTACGGAGTAAAGGTAATTGTGTTTCGCCGTTTCCAGCCCGAGTGGTTTGATCAGTTCCCCTGGCTTCACTGGGACGTTAGCAGCAAGAAAGTGTTTTGCTACGCTTGCGTACGTGCGTCCAGGCAGAATCTGATCTCTTCAGGAAATGCGGATTCGGCATTTATCTCGACAGGCTTCCAGAATTGGAAAGAGGCAAAGCGAGTGATGACCGGCCACGCTGTATCAGGATGTCACAGGGAGGCTGTGGAGCGCTTACAGCAAATCCCGCAAGCGGTTGGTGATGTTGGGGAGCTGTTAGACTCGCAACTAGCGAAGCAACAACAGCAACACCGCCAGTGCTTCTTCAAGATCCTGCGGGCGCTGAAGTTTCTCGCCAGGCAAGGACTTCCTCTTCGAGGCGCAACTAAGGAAGATGGTGAAGTTGACGGGCACTTCATGCAGTTGCTCGCCATGTTTGCTGAGAGCGATGACCACCTCGTGCGATGGCTGGACCGTCGCTCTGAGAAGTATACAAGTCCTCAGATACAAAATGAAATCCTGCAGCTGATGGCCCATCGTGTACTGCGACAAGTTGCAGCTGATATCCGCAGCAATTTCTTCTCCGTGATGGTAGATGAGACAACCGACTGCTCCACTGTCGAGCAATGCGTTGTAGTCATTCGCTGGGTGGACGACACACTGCAGCCACACGAGGACTTCATCGGGTTTTACGCCATCCCAGTTGCCAATGCTGATACCATCGTGAAAGTCATACACGACTGCTTGCTTCGCATTGGACTCAGCTTGGTGGACTGCAGAGGTCAGTGTTACGATGGGGCTGCTGTAATGAAGGGTGTAAGGAACGGTGTCGCACAGCAGATCTTATCGGAGCAGCCAAAGGCACTGTTTACGCACTGTTATGGGCATTCATTGAACCTTGCCTGTCAGGATATGGTTCGTGAGGTGAAAGCAGTGAAGGATGCCTTGGATACAACATTCGAGCTGAGCAAACTGCTTAAGTACTCTGCCAAACGTACCGCTGAGTTCGATCGGCTGAAGAAGGAAATTGCTCCAGAGGAACCTGGGTTTCGAACCCTTTGTCCGACCCGGTGGACTGTCCGAGCATCCTCTCTGCACAGTGTTCTTGTGAACTATGAAGTTTTGCAGGCAAGTCTGGATCGTTTCACTGAAATGGCGAAATATGACCATGAGATGTCAGCGAAGTGCAATGGTGTGCGATCCCAGCTGTCGTCGTTCCTTTTCCTCTTTGGTGTGTCTCTTGGCCATTTAGTCCTACAAGTTGCTGACAACCTCAGTGTAGCCTTGCAGCAAAAGTCATTGTCTGCTGCGGATGGTCAACGTCTGGCGCAAGAGACAATACGGGCTCTTCAAAAGCTTCGCAGCGAAGACGAGTTCTCGAAGTTCTGGAGTGGTGTCCTTACGAGGCAACGAGGCAGTCGTCCCTTGATGTAGGTGAGCCTGAAATGCCACGCCGACGGAAAGCTCCTGCCCGATTGGAAGTTGGCTCCTCAACACCGTCATTCCCGTCCTGCGTGGAAGACCATTTCCGTCCCATGTTCTACCAAGCCATTGACACCATCATCAATTCCATTCGGGAACGATTTGATCAGCCAAGCTTGAAGCAGTATCAACAGCTGGAGGACCTCCTTCTGAAGGCAGCTTCTGGAAAGTCTTACCAGCAAGAGAAGACTTGTGTGGAGGCAATGTGGAAAGATGATCTCAACTTCGCAATGCTGGATAGCCAACTTAGCATCTTGGCGTCCAAGTTTCAGTCTTCTGGCAACGTTGGCTTGGCCGATATCATGGCGTATGTGACAGCCCACCCGGCTCATGGCGCATACATGAGTGAAGTGATGGTGCTGCTGAAGCTGATTCTTGTTGCACCAGCAACGAATGCCACAAGTGAGCGCTCATTCTCTGCACTTCGCCGTCTCAAGACTTACTTGAGATCAACCATGTCTCAGCAGCGATTGAATCACTGCGCCATGCTCAACATCATGAGGGAAGCTTGTGATAATCTGAAGCTAGTGGACATCGGCAATGACTTTGTCTCTGCTAGCCAACGCAGGTATGACATCTTTGGTAAGTTCTGCTAACTGTTTGCTGCACAGGTATACAAATTCCGTTTTGTATCGTGGGTGCTGGATCCCATTCTGCTTGAGTTAAAACTAGTGTCAAACTGCAAATGAACTCTATCTTCTTCTCTCCTTTTCTCTTTTCAAAACGGCTGTGTTGAGAGTTAATTGTTCCTAATCCTTTTTAGCTATGAACTCCAGGGCTGAGTTGTTGTTGTATACATTTGAGCACTGTTGCAAGTTAACGCGCTGCCCCATTATCTACTTACTTTTAATGCCTGTATTTGTGTCCATCGTATTTGTTTCTTTTGAGTGAACATATAAGCTGCTTGAAGTACAATATCACCTTGTTTGCAACATACATTATTATGGAACTGATTTTACAAGCTTTCTGTATCACCATGCTCTACCACACTATAATACATCATCTCCTACGTGTCCATGCACGTCTCTTCTGACCGTGAAATTCTATGTCTTAAACTGTGCCAGAAGTGTGCCAGAAGTCCCCAGAACGCAGGATTTTGTGTCTTTTTTACAAAATTTTCCCGGGGGACGTCCCCCCCGACCCCCCCTCCACAACAGCCTTCGGCCGCGCTGACCTTCGGTCGTACCACTTCCAAAACCTACCCCCCTCCTACGCCCCTGCCCTACTACTGGACTGTCTTCTTTCTGTACCTAGAATGAGTTTGATCTTAGGTGTTTATAGGGTTCAGCTAGCCGTAGACAAAGGGAAGTGTTGAAATCTATACTAAGTACAGCGCTGGCAACTGAAATCCGACACCCTGAGCGGTGCGCTCACTTCGCAAAGACCCAACACGAGATGGTAAACCTACGAAACAGAGACTGCTAGAATGTGAACCCACCGCTCCGGTGGTCGGAATTCGGTTGCCAGCACGGTACATGGGAGGCGATTACCATGCACATTTCTGCATTAATGTAGTTGTACACCATGCATTTTCTGCCGGCTTCCCAATCTGTATCATATGATACTACATCACACAGTTGTACAAACCTACAAACCTACACGCCAGCAAACAGTAGTAAAATTACGATTTAGTGGGATTTAAACTCTAAGGTCTTTAGCAGGAATGCCGCTGATTGGTCATCCCCTAGATGAAGAGACTGGCCTTGCTGAAACACATTTTAAGACATTTTGGCACGGTTCTTCGTGTTGAAGTTTGTTGAAGTAAGTTATCTTTTGTATTTTCTTGTGTGTGTTGTTTTCATTTGATAGATGCAAGTGGATATTGGCCTCCTCTAACTCGTGAGTTTGGTATTCAATCGTATGGAGGAGAGATAGTGCATGCACCGTTGTACACACATGCATACACACATATACACACACATACACACACACACACACAAACACACACACACATACATGCACACACATATACACATACACACCCACACCTGTTCTGTCCTGTCCTGTCCCCCCGAGTCGCTCCAGGGGTCATGTGGGCCATGGGGGGGGGGCAGTTGAGGTAGAGAAGGATCACGCTACCCAATTGAATCCTAGATACAGAGTTGGACGGAATTGGTGGGAACAAACGCAGCCGTGCAAGAAATCATCACACACTCTTGCTGCTGGACGTCGGCAGTTTCTGGAATAGCGATGAAAATGCGAGATTGAGCAGATTAGAAACAGCGACTGAACCAGTCGCAGTGAACATTGCAGCTCTCATGGTTGGTGGCAGTAGTGTTGGCAGCAGTAGATCGAGCAATGGACAATGGCCCGGAAGCGAATGCTGGACAGGGATGGGCGGCTAACTTATACCTCCGTGACTCCGGAACCACCGATCGTAACAAACACACCGGCAGGTACCTACTACCCCCACCCCTCTCTCTCTCTCTCTATCTATCTATCTATCTATCTCTCTCTCTCTCGTACACACACACGCACACGCACACGCACACACACACACACACACACACGCACACACACACACAAGAAGGCAAGCCTTGCAATGCATTCATTGAATGCAATAGTACAAAAGCGGTTTGTGGCCATGGAACCAAGCATACTATGAAATTCGAAAACTGGTAATATCAATCGTTGTTTGCTTTCTCCTGGCTTCGACATGGGTTTATACATTTTTGATGTAGTCTATATGGCTTTTTTGCTATAATTGTGCACAGCGTCGTTGACGAAATGCCGTCGGGGCTACACCATGTTCAATCACCCCAACGGCGCTGTGTACTGCTACGCACTCAAAGGTCGCCTTTCCACCTGGCGGTTGACTTGGACGGCCGCCCAGAAAGCTTGCGCTCGCACGGGACCTGGGTAAGGGTGACGTGTGTTGTGGGAACTGGTGGCGGACACTTTTAAAATCCCCAGCTGACCCTTTTGTGGTCCAAGAAGATAGCCCAACAGTTTGAGTTTCAGACCGAGGAAGTGTGTCGAATGGATGTCTATGCACTGCTGGTTCCAGAAGGATATTCTACATAATGGATTTCGACACATAATCTGAGTTCTGGCAAATATTTCAACTTTATTGATCATGATGCAATGCAATGCAACGCCTCTCAGTCTAACCTCCTGACGTCTCAACAGGGTGCAGTGGTCATTGCCATGGATATACCTTGATGGATTTCGTTTCACCTCCACTGCTCCCATATCAAACTATCTCAGGAAACGAAGTCCTCTAACATAATATGCATTACCCAAATTTACGAAACTGCCGACCCTGGCTCAGGTGCTTTCTTTATCAGTTCCGGCATCTGACATGCAAGGTGAAAAGTAGGGCGGCGGTGGAGTAATGACCAGGAGTTGGTGTTGTAGACTGTAATACATGTACCCCAGGGGCGTCGGACGCGGTACAATCACTACGGTATTGAGTCTACTATTGACCGTACCACTCTTTGCCCCAGGTACTCCGTGAATCAGTAAAATGCATTGATCTCGGCTCTAAATTTCCAAACAATTTCGGCGCAGCCACCTCTCCCCCATGAGTGGATTGTACTTCAGATGGCTGACCGTATCACACTAGAATACCTTCCGACGTTGCCCCTGTAACCCCCCGGTACCAGAGATTGCTTAGCATTGGTTCAGAAGGCCCAGCACACTGTGTGTACACTGCCTGGCATGGTTTGTTGTCACGTGTGCAGCTTTGCTCTTGCCAGCATTCATGACCACTACGAGCAGAACAAGCTGACGGCCATGATTAAGGCTTCCTACTCGCGATACCGCACCACGACCTACTGGTTTGGACTGAACGATCGAACCAGAGAGGGTGGTTATATGTAAGTCAAAAGAGTAATGACTCTGATGAGCATTGTTCCGGCACTACCACCAATACACTACACGCCAAAAAGCAAACTTAAGTTTGCCGGGTCCAGTGAACTATGGAAATGGGTGAAATGGGTGTGGATGTGTCTGAGTGGGTGGGGTGTCCGTGGGGTAGACGGGGCTGTGTCATGTTGTGAGCATGATTTTGAAGCAACCTTCCTACTGGCAATTTGGAGGGTGACTATAGATGAAATGAATTTGGGATCCCAAGGCCTCGAGGTCTTCAAATGAAGAAGTGCATATTATACACTGCTGTTAACTTACACCATACACCATACACCATACACCATACACCATAGCTTAGTGGTAAAGGACTGCTGGCCAACATCGAGGGTCCCTAGTTTGGGTCCTGGTCGTGTAGTCAATCTTTTCTTCAGACTTTTCCGTTTCTACTCCCTCACACTTATACATCTTATACATCAGGAGATACCAGCAATGTTTCACAGCAGCAGAGTAGGAGGGTGTTGCAACGTCCTACTCCACTGCTGTACTCTGTCATCAACACTGTGGTGGGGGTATCAATCCAGTGAGCCCTACTTAGCAGAAGGACATGACATGTTCTTGTAGACCAATGTGTTGGTGATGCCCTGCAGCTCAGCAGACCGAAACGGTTTTAGCTTGGAGGCAGGGACCACCATAGGGAAAGAGGTATACAACGGATGTGACGAGCAATTCATCACTCTCACAAGCATGTGCCGGCATGACTTGAACACACAGCACAGCATATTTAGTTTGGTTGGTGTATCATCGGCAGGGTTGCTGAGCGTAGCAGCTGTCTGGCATGTCGTAGCCTATGCAGAGACGGCAGCATTGCCACAGACATAGAGAAGGGGAGCAAAATACAAGATAGTTTGGCATGCAAAAATCATAGCCGTGACCTTTAAATTGGGCTGTTAAACAGAGAGGCAAGGAAGTATGACAACTGAGATATTTACGAGAGAGAGAGAGAGAGAGAGAGAGAGAGAGAGAGAGAGAGAGAGAGAGAGAGAGAGAGAGAGAGAGAGAGAGAGAGAGAGAGAGAGAGAGAGAGAGAGAGAAGGGGAAACAAGAGAACTTACAGGATGTGCTCTTCCCAATATTTGTTTCTATTTAATTTTAGCAATAGCGATGGAACTGCTACCGATTATATTCGCTGGGGAGGCGGCCAGCCCAACAACTTGCAAGGTCGTCAGGACTGTGTTGCTATCTACTCCATGTACTCTGGAAACTGGAATGATGACAACTGCAACACTCACCATGCCTACATCTGCAAGTACACTTTGAGTAAGCTCAGCACAATGTTTGGTGCACTTTGAGTACGCTCAGCACAATGTTTGGTGCACTTTGAGTAAGCTCAGCACAATGTTTGGTGCACTTTGAGTAAGCTCAGAAGCATAATGCCGTACATGTGTTATAGTTACGGGTTGCTTTTTGCAGTGCGGACAATTGCTGTTTCACAAGAAAGGACAGGTAACCTTGGAGACTGGTGCATTCAGACTTGTAACTGCACTGCCGCGCATCGTCTTGATCTGATTGCAAGTTACCAGTCACAGCCCTGGTGAGCATGTACCTGATGACCATTGCTGGTGTGGCAGGAACACTTACGATTACGATATCTGTGCAGTATACAGATCACGATATCTGTGCAGTATACAGATCACGATATCTGTGCAGTATACAGATCACCATGCAAACATACTACTGTACTCACTATTTTCGTATATCCCACTTCTTTGCCTATACTCAGTGAAGTATTGGCAATGTCTATCAGCTATAGAAGAGTGCATGCTATAGAAGAGTGCATGCTATAGAAGAGTGCATGCTATAGAAGAGTGCATGCTATAGAAGAGTGCATGCTATAGAAGAGTGCATGCTCCCGCCGGTCACAGCATACTGAGTTATGTTCTCCTCATAACATTAATGTCTCTTGCAAACATTTCTTCTCTAAAATTCTCGTACTCCTCGCGACACTACACAACTGTCTTCTCAGAGTGCCTGGGGAAATATAGTGCGAGTCATAGCAGCTAGTACTGGTGACAGCGGTAGAGTTCTAACGCGCACCACCGGAGAAACTGGAGACTGGGGTGATCGTGCATCTGCTCACCGGCGTTGGACCAAGCGCTGTGAACGTTGATAGGGGGTATGGTATTTTCTCCTCGGTCCAAGGATGGTGTCTGCCGTTTCTTTGTGATGTTTGTGTGAAATGCTAGAGCCACGTCCATTGCCAAGCGGTGGTGTACCTCAAGTCAGTAAGTGAAGCAACAACGGCACGGCAAGAGTCGTCACATTATCAATTCTTTAGATCAGACATGACAACAAGAAGAGGAGAAAGAAAATATTGTGAGTCTGAGTTCGCTGCACAAGTAGACAATCATCAGACAATAGTCGTCTGAGGATTGTCTATTTGTGCAGGAAACTCAGACTCACAGCGTTTTTATTCTTCCTCTTCTTGTTGGACGAGTAACTCTGCAACTGGGCATCAAGCATTATAGGATGGCCTCAGACCTTCCTGTTATTGATCAGAAATGACTCTTGGACTTTCTCTGTCTCGCCATGGTGATTGTTGCCATGGCGATTGGTTGCTGCAATGTTACTTTCTCTATCACATCAATTTGGTATTGGATACTAATGGAACTGGAAAAGAGATCAAACAGAGGGCGCGATGTGTGTGTGTGTGTGTGTGTGTGTGTGTGTGTGTGTGTCGGTGTGTCGGTGTGTCGGTGTGTGTGTGTGTGTGCGTGTGTGTGTGTGTGTCGGTGTGTGTGTGTGTGTGTGCGTGCGTGCATCCGTGTGTGTTCTGTTGTTGCCAGGCGATAAATACTGTGCAAATGGCTGGCATCAGTTTGGATCCTATTGTTACCTGGTGAAAACACAGGCAACAGACCTGGTGACTCACAGCGTGGCTGTGTCCAACTGCGCACAGCTGTACAAGGCCAATATGACCAGCGTTCACAGCGTTGCGGAGCATGGATACCTGATGTCAATCATTGGCTTGCACAATGCCTCCACACGCGTCCATATCGGCATCAATGACATGAAGGTAAGCTAACGGAGTATTGTCGTGTGTTAATTGCAAAAAGTGTGACACTCAGAGCATTAGCATTGTTGGTAACAAAGCATTACAGATTCTTGGTTGTAGTGTATAACAAAGCATTACAGATTCTTGGTTGTAGGGAAACTAATCAGCACATGAAGAACGGAAGTCATATAGTTTCGAACTTTCGACTAGGCTCTTCGCACCGTTACATTTCAAATCGACACAAAGAAGTAGAAGTACTGCTTCTTTCTAGATGACTCTATGTTGTTCCATGGAGTGCTTTGTTGTGGCATGGAGCACTATGTTGACTGATATCTTGCACTCAGTTGCACGCCAGAGTTCATGCTGACTCGTGGCGAAAATGTGAATATGTGTGTGTGCGTGTGTGTGTGCGTGTTTGTGTACATGTGTGTGCGTATATGTGTGTGTTTGTGTGTGTGTGTGTGTGTGTGTGTGTGTGTGTGTGTGTGTGTGTGTGTGTGTATGTGTGTACGTGTCCATGCACGTGTGTGCAAGTGCATGCACATGCCTGTCCATGTTCATCCTTGCGTGTGGATATTGCCATTGGTGTGATGTTGTTATTTGCAGGTGGAGGGTGAGTTCCAGTGGAGTGATGGCACTCTTGTTGACTTCACCAACTGGGGCTACAATCAGCCAAATGACTGGCAAAACTCCCAGGACTGCACCGAGCTTGACCATCACCTTGGCTACTGGAATGACATCAATTGCAAGACTGACAAGCGTGGATATGTCTGCAAAAGACTGAGAGGTGAGAAGTTGCTTTATCAATATGTCTTGCTTTAGGAAGCCGTACACTGCTGACATGGTATGGTCATGCCGGTCATTCAATACCAGCATGTGTTTTAGAATTACATTCTGCGACTTCAGATGATCTGGTGAATATATGTTATCTCTGGTTTTCTATATCAAACTCGAATCTTTGACACCAATGCTCATTCACTGTGATATTTCAAGATTCTGATCGAATGTTTCTGCTGTGTTTTGCACAATACGTGAACTTTAGATCAACCAACTCAACCAATTAGCCGTAAGTGAATGCAAGCTGATGTGTGACTACTGGTAATCTGACTAAAAGCAGTTTCTTCAAGTGCTCAATGCTGGCTCAGTGCCTCTTTGTACATATTCACTCTGTGTGGTGAGGCCACTACATGACCTCAGTTCTGGAAAGGTCTGAGGTCAGCCCGGCACGAAAACTACAAAAGTCATGTACTCTAAAGGGCTATGATCCCACTGTAAACAGGCACTTCAAAGTACCTTGGGTTGGGGTTGGGGTTGGTGTGTGAGGGAAGGGGGGGGGGGTAAACCACACCGACACTCCTACTCCATTGGTAACCCTTGCAGGTTTTACAAGTATATTATTAGAAAAGGTATAAGTTTTAGAGCAAAAGTATGAAGTGTGCATACGGGCACAGGTTTATACACTGAATGGCATACAAAAGTAGAGGGGCATCACTTGTTGAGTGGGACAGGATTGCCAGGGTTATGCCGGATTGTCATTGTCCAGTTAAAGTAGTTTTAAAAAGTATACTGAAGTTGATACCTTTCCTCTTTTTTTACTTCTCTTGACAGAGATCACTCAATGCACAAGCGGCTGGACATGGTTCAATAATTTCTGCTACCAGATCCCGGCCGTGAACGCCACAGCGGCAGCAGCACAGGCCTACTGTGCCGGCTATAGCAACCCGTCCAACCTGAAGGGCTCACTGGTGACTATCCGCAGCCGTTACGACAACTTCTTCCTGTCCAGCATGATCGCCAGCCAGCCCAATGTGCAGCGTGCTTACTTCATTGGCATCAACGATGTTGCGAATGAAGGTAGGCGTGCTATGTGTCTGTGCAAGACGTCAAGTACATATGTTAGTTGTAGGTTCGTGTGCCAGGCAACCTTCAATGTGGTTAGCTGTTATCACCATGCGCTGAATACCAATTGCAATGTATTCTTGTTGATGTCTCAGGTACATATACATGGTGGAGTGGCATGCCGGTGACGTATTCCAACTGGGCACCTCATGAGCCCAACCAGTGGCAGGGCAATGAGGACTGTACAGAGATCTACTCGTCCACGTACAAGTGGAATGACCGCCTGTGCAACCGAACACAGAGCTTCATCTGCATGGTGCCGGACAGTAAGTAACAGACACATGCGCATTGCATGCACATACACATGAACATGAACATACACATACACCTGCACATGACCAGAATCAGACTGCACGGTACTGATTCATGATTCTCAACCTTCCGTATATCACAAAGTGCACGTGGCACTGGGTTAGCTACCCTCCCCCCCTCCAGCTTTTTTAAGATAGGTATGAACTAGATCTCATTTGTGGTGTTGCTAGAAATTAACCTTGTCGCATGATATGTTGTACGAGTATATGGTGAGGTAGAAAAATTTACGCGTACAGGGCGGGTCAAGAATCGCCTTTCCGCTTCAGTGGGACGCCACCAGCCCATGATCAGGCGAGGTAAAGATGTCACGGTAGGTATAGGAAGGACAAGTCAAAACTTACTACTTCAAGTGGAAGTGAAAATGTTGCTATTTTAGGTTTTGGTACCTTACGGTCATTTCATCCACATGGGCGATATGGCTTTGCAATAGGCCCCGAATAGGTTCACAGATGTGTTGCAACAGAAGTCTTCCTGGCAAACAATTGGGCACGGAATTTCTTTTGCTTCTGTGTTCAGACAAGCAAACTACGCTGCCGACAGTGAAGCCACAACTCCATGGATTGCGTAAGTTAATCATGAAACACGCATAGCTTCTTCTAATGCTGCTTCTTACCCGTCACGAACAAGGCAGAAACTTTCAAACCTACACATCTGATTGCATGCTCACAGACACAACACCGTTTGGAGCATTGATTTATGATCTCAAACGGCACGCACCGAGCACTAAAGAGACGGAGAAGAAACAGAGAACTAGATCCGGGCAGGGACTGTGAAAGTACATTCTGATGCATGCGTTGGATCCCTCTGGCAATGTTCTGGTCAGCTGGGTGGCTGTTGTGATGGTGACCACACACTAACAACTTGTGTATAATCAGTGACCACTGCTGGTGTGCCTGTCTATTTCTGCCTGTTCAGCTTCAGCCACATGCCCCAAAGGCTGGCAGAAGTACGGCTCCAGCAACATGTGCTATGGATTCTTTGGTTCGATCCACACACTGACGATGATGATGGATACCCCGCTGATTTCGCCCAAGGCCTGGACAGACGCCAACATGCAGTGCCAGGCTATGGGTGCACAACTGGTCAGCATCCACGACGCCGCCACCAACCAGTACTTGATGGACCAGACACAGAAGTACAAGATGGGCTGGTGGAGTTTCTGGACAGGTCTCAATGATCGTAACCAGGAGGGTGGGTATGTGTGGTCAGACACGACCGGTGTCCAATACACAGCGTGGGCTACACAAGAGCCCAATGACTGGAGAGGCACTGAGGACTGTGTGGAGGTTATGCTGGACAAGGCCCGGAAGGGATGGCAGTTCAAGTGGAATGACCAGGGCTGCACTTCCAAGCGTCCTTATGTCTGCGCCTTCCCTGCAGGTGAGGTATATTTGGACCTATAACAGATTTTGACATATCGTTGGACAGAAGGATAGATTTAGCATTTGAGTACAATAACAAAGGCAACCTACAATGCCCGGAATCACTAGATTCTTTTTTCCATTGTTGCAGGTAAATGTGCATGTGCTAAAACCTTGCATTGCCCTGTACTTAGGCCTTGTGAGCTATGATAACATTGGTATAAAAAAATAGATTGCTGTTGGTTTTGTAAGGTAAGGTATGTCTGAAATTGTTGTAGTGTTCACATATACATGTATAGACTTTCACTCTCATGTATGCACGCAGTACCGTTTGTACTCCTAACCATTTACATATGCCGCTTCCCATGCCCATACTGACAGTCGGTACGCGCCGACACTGTACGCATGCACGCACACCATTACATTCTGTTGGCATTATGTTACAGAGATTTCCGGAGCTCCGAGTTACTTGTTGTTAGGAATAAAGCAAGAGAACAACATTACTGTGATATCTGAGCAAGCGTTGTACAAACGCGTCATAAGTTGTTATCTTATTAGTACTTACGTTGCCTGCATGCATATGCGCATGCCTGTTGTTTTGTTGTCTTGTCTTGCTCTGAACGAGTGATAAACAAGTCTTGAGTTTTTCCCTATCTGACAAGTTTGTCTTGGTCTTGTGTAGTGCCTGGGTTGCATGTAACAATTTGGCGACGAAGACAACGTCCTGCGCGATGGAGGGAGATCGTGACCGTCTTCCACCATTCGACACGTCCGGACCCCCATCTCAAGTGGCTCTGAGGTGGACAAAATGGGTTCGAGCCTTTGACTATTATCTGACGGGAAAGGACATTACGAACAAGAAGCGTTCAAAAGCACTGCTCTTGCACTTCGCGGGTCTAGAAGTTCAGGATTTATTCGAGGACCTATCCGACCCAGATGACAGCCTTCCACCAGATCAGAGAACACAGAATGACAATGAGTTCCTCAAGTGCAAGCGTACCTTGCAAGCTCATTTCGGTGCTCCTGCAAACCCTACGTATGAGAGGCACGTCTTCCGTCAACTCACTCACCGGCAGGGAGAGTCCACAGTGCAGTACTGCACCAAGCTTCGGCAGCAAGCTCGGCTTTGTTCTTTCGAGAATGAAGGACAAACTGCGGAAGCTATACGTGACCAGATCGTAGCCACAGTCGACAGCAGTGAGCTGAAGAAGAAGCTCCTGTCAGAACCAGCCCTGACTCTGCCACGAGCGTTGGAAATGTGCAGAATTTGGGAGGACGCCCAGTCCCAGTCGGAAGGAATGTCCTCAACCACTTCTACTTCGTCTGGTACCGGTTATACCGGGAGTAGTAGTATGCTTGTCAATGCCGTGCACCACCGAGACCAGAGTCACAGGCAAGCTGGACAGGGTGGATTTGTGCAGTCATCGCGTGGCCAGTCACGTAAATGCGGTGGATGTGGAGACCAGTGGCACGAGAAGCGCGAGTCATGCCCAGCTTGGGGCAAGTCGTGCCGGAAGTGTAGGAAGCCAAACCACTTCGCCAAAGTTTGCCGTTCACAGCAGTCCAGCACTGGTGGCAGTGTACACATGGTTGGCCAGTCTCAAGAAGTACATGGAACGTCGCCAGTCGACCCTGCTCCTGCTCCAAGTCATAGTGCAAGTGCTGGTACTGGTGCGAGTTTTGCATCCGGTCCTACAACTGCAAGTCCGTACAGCAGCGGCCTGGACGAGTACTATTCGTTGTACCGCACGCAGAGTGACAAGGACCGCGTGGACCCGTACTGTTGTACCCTCCAGTTATGTAAACAGCCAGTCGTGTTTGAAATCGACACGGGTGCAGCCGTGACGGTGATGTCTGAAAACGAATTTCATCGGCTGGCATCCAAGGTCAATTTGTCGCTCGACACAAGTGATCTGCCGAAGCTGCGTACTTACTCCGGCGGAATTCTGAATGTCGTCGGTCGCTTTAGTGCTTCTGCGACCCATGCTTCTCGTAAATCAGCAGAATTGTCGATCGTCGTTGTCCAAGGAAACGGACCAAATCTCCTGGGTCGAGACGCGTTGCAACTGCTGAGGCTGAATTGGAACTTCGTGTTCAACGTGTCACGCGAGCACTCGATATTGTCAGAGTTCCCGCAGCTCTTCCAACGTAGCATGGGCACCTGGAAACATGGAAAAGTCAAATTGTCCGTGGCAGACAGCGCCAGACCCCGGTTCCTGAAGGCACGCTCTGTTCCTTATGCGTTACAAGCAGCAGTGGAAAAAGAGCTGAGTCGACTGGAGGAAGCTGGCATCATTAGTCCTGTCCAGTATTCGGAGTGGGCAGCTCCAATCGTACCCGTTCTCAAGCGGAACGGTAGCATACGAATCTGTGGCGATTATAAATGTACTATCAACCAGTCGGCAAGAGTAGACAAGTACCCCTTGCCCAACATCGACGACTTGTATCAGAAGTTATCGCAAGGCGCATTCTTCTCCAAGCTTGACCTGAAACATGCTTATCAACAACTGTTGCTCGACGACGAGTCTAAGCTGCTGACGACAATCAACACCTCCAAAGGATTGTTCGTCTACAACCGCCTACCCTTTGGCGTGTCGGCGGCCCCGGCAATATTTCAGCGCACGATGGAACAATTGTTAGCAGGTCTGTCCTTTGTCGTAGTGTATCTCGACGACATTGTTGTTTCTGGAAAGACTCGTGCGGAGCATGATGAGAATCTGAGGCTGGTCCTGGATCGTCTAGCGTCCGCGGGTCTCAGGTTGAATCGTGAGAAGTGTCTCGTGGCTCAGCAGTCTATTGAGTTCCTGGGCCATGTTATTGATTCAGTCGGCATTAGGCCGTCGGCTGAGAAAGTGGATGACCTTGTGAAGGCCCCACAGCCCAAGAATGTCCCTGAACTGAGAAGCTTTCTGGGACTCATAAACTATTACCACAAGTTCATCGAGAATCTAAGCTCAGTGTTAGCTCCATTGTATGAATTGTTATCATCAAAGTCGTGGTGTTGGTCTGATAGTCACCAGACAGCGTTTGATACAGGCAAGTCTCTGCTGCTTTCTGAGCCGATACGTATTCATTATAATCCTAGTTTACCTATTGTCGTGTCCTGTGACGCTTCCCCGTATGGTGTTGGCGCAGTTCTGTCGCATGTTCTGCCAGTTGGGTCTGATCGGCCAGTAGCCTTTGCATCTAGAACGCTGTCGTCTTGTGAGAAGAATTACTCGCAGCTTGACCGTGAGGCCTTGGCAATGGTATTTGGCGTATCCAAGTTCCACAAGTACATCTTCGGTCGCAACTTTACACTACAAACAGATCATAAGCCACTGCTGGGATTGTTTGAGCCTGATAGACCCATTCCTGTTCAGTCTAGTGGTCGTATTCAGCGATGGGCACTCAAACTAGCCAATTATGAATTTGTTCTGGAGTTCAAGCCTGGGAAACAGAACGGTTGCGCTGATGGGTTGAGTCGCCTCCCCAATCCGGCGCTGGTACCGGAACCGCCGCAGCCAGCCGAGGCTGTACTATCGCTATCCGTCTTGAACACTACACCGGTTACGTCTGCATCGGTTACTCGCTGGACGAGCAAAGATCCGTCCCTGGCATTAGTATACAAGTTCGTATCTGAGGGCTGGCCCCAAGACATTCCAGAGGGATTAGAGCCATATTCCTATCGTCGTAGTGAGCTGTCTGTCTTGAATAACTGTATCCTAATTGATTCCAGGGTAGTTATTCCTTCACCGGGTCGTGCACCATTGCTGGACGAGTTGCACGCCGGTCATCCCGGTATCGCTAGAATGAAAGCCCTGGCACGCAGCTATGTCTGGTGGCCGTCTCTCGATGCAGAAATCGAACAGACCGTCTGTGGTTGCATGCAGTGCCAGACCGTCACCAAGTCGCCGCATCGCCAGCAAGTCCACCCATGGGAATGGCCTGGTAAGCCTTGGTTACGTGTCCATGTCGACTTTGCTGGACCCATCGCTGGTAAGATGCTCTTCATTATTGTCGATAGTCATAGTAAATTTATTGAAGCACATGTTTGCTCTGGCTCATCTGCTGCTGTCGCAATTCGCAAGCTGGAGCAGACCTTTGCTCTGCTTGGCTTACCTTATAATATTGTTTCTGACAATGGCCCTGCTTTTGCAAGTAGTGAATTTCGTGAGTTTTGCTCATCTAATGGCATACGTCATACTCTCGTTTCACCATATCATCCGTCTAGTAATGGCTTAGCCGAGCGCGCAGTACAGACGGTGAAGTCTGGCTTGGCCAAGATGTCTGGCCCTGATTTGGAAACCCGCCTTGCTAGGTTCCTGTTCCAATACAGAATGACGCCGCAGTCAACAACGGGTCGTTCTCCGTTTGAGCTACTTTGGAAGGAACATCGTCCCCGCTCACGTCTGGATCTCGTGTTCCCGGACAGCGGCAAGAAAGTCTTGGACAAACAGTGCACTGCCCATGATCGTGGTGGTGCAAATGCATACCAGTTCTATTGTGGTGATGCCGTCTGGGCAATGAATTTCAACTCCTCACCGAAGTGGATAGCTGGCACCATGGAAGAACAGCTTGGTCCTCTAACATTCACGGTTCGTCTTGTTGATAACAGAGTCTGGAAGCGTCACTCTGACCACCTGAAGAAACGCCTTCCTGCTGAGTCGGTGCAAGATGCTTCAACTGCTACGTCAGCACCACAGCTTCCATATTCCAGAGCTTTACCTTCTACCACAGCTCTACCGTCTTCAACTGCTCTACCTAGTGTTCCGCCGACTGAGTCTATGTCACTGCCTGGCTCAATTGTACATGATGAGATCCGTGAGAATGCTGATTTATCTGTTCCTGAATCTACTCCTAACCAGTCTAGTGGTTCTAGTCCTGTTGTGTCTATGCGCAGTTCTTCTCGTTCTGTAAAGGCTCCTGTCCGCCTTGATCTGTAGTTCGTCTTATCAGATTATTTGCTGCCACGACACAGTCTATGTATTTCTGTTATTCTGGTCGTTTCCATCTGATGGTGGAGGGATGTGATATCTGAGCAAGCGTTGTACAAACGCGTCATAAGTTGTTATCTTATTACTTACGTTGCCTGCATGCATATGCGCATGCCTGTTGTTTTGTTGTCTTGTCTTGCTCTGAACGAGTGATAAACAAGTCTTGAGTTTTTCCCTATCTGACAAGTTTGTCTTGGTCTTGTGTAGTGCCTGGGTTGCATGTAACAATTACAATTGTGTCTGTGTGTATCATAACATTGTGCATCTCTATGTGTGTGTGTCTATGTGTGGGTGTGGGTGTGTGTGTGTCTGTGTGTGTGTGTCTGTGTGTGTGTGTGTCTGTGTGTGTGTCTGCGTGTGTCTGCGTGTCTGTCTGCGTGTCTGTGTTCATGTGTTTGTAGGAATCCAATATACAGCACCAACGTCAACTCCACTCTCCCTACCTCCAGGTACGATTGTAAGCATGTTACTCAAAGTTGATCCACATCCCTGCTTACTTGGAAACTAAAGGAAATTGTTGCATTGTGAAGAGCGGTGAACTGGACAGAGGCAGGAAAGCTAAGTGATAATGATTCTTACACAGAAGACTGCGGGCTGTAACCTATGTACGCACTTTGCTAGACAGCCAGCCTTGTATTTTGCTGCAATGGGAGGCTCGGCTGCATGCTTTAGTTTGAGTATGGTGATAATAGAGAGGTTGCGCACAACGAAAATCCGTAGCAGCGTAACGAAATGTTTTAACGAAAAAGCTAACGAATATTTGTAAACCGTGAGGTTGTGCACAACACGTGTTCGTAGTGGGTTGACGCAGCGGCCACAAAGGTGCGAAGAGTCAAGACAGGGAGTTGTTAAGTATCAGTATTTTAGTACTCCAGCCACAATCAACCACTATTTCGTTAGTACTCCAAGTAACGAATAATATTTTCGTAGATCTGCTCTGTTTCGGTCGCGTTTGGACGGATCTTCGTAGCAACTTTCGTTACTCGAACCCGGACAGTCACAATCTTACGAATTTTCGAATTGCGCAACCTCTCTGGTGCGGGGTCTCAGTTAGGCCGCGATCACACCAAAACAAACCACTTTGGGCTTGTTATCCTTGGCGCTCAGCTGGCTTGTGTGCTCCATGTCGAGCGGTCACACCAGACATCGAGTGCAAAGCTTGAATGGCTTATTTTTTTTGCCCGCCAATTTTTTGACTATCTCGAAACACACCAACCTTCGCAAGAAATCGGAAAGCAGAACAGTGGTGATCTACAACTTGTGTTCAGTTTTCATGAAGAAGTAAAAATCTACAACAACATCAACAACAATAACAAGAAGAAGCAAAGGAAGCCCGGATCCTGAATTGCGACACCGTGCTCTTTTTATTTGTTCAGTGTGTATGGATGCGCGATCATTCGGGTGACAGTGTTTCCTGATGTTGAGCTTTCTGCTCGGCCAGTTGCTGTTCTTCAACTCCGTCGCAATCCACTCTCTTCTTCGTACCTTTCTTCATGAATTCAGTCGTGAGCTTGGTGCCATTTCTTGGCCTCGAATCACAGCTCAATCAACCTACGCTCTAGAGGCACAGTCCAGTGGTCATCGGAGAAAATCAAAATCAAACTGAACTGTTGTATAGGCAGACACTGTCAAAACCAAAGCCAAGGCGAAGGCGACGGCATAAATTTACATATAGCACGGAAACAAGAAAGAACATCGATATCAGTTCCTCGCCTCGTCGCCTCATGTTCACTACAAAACCAGTCTACATGGTGTGTTCCAAGGACCAAGCGCACTCAACATATTTTTGAATTTCGGCTTTCAGCCGCGCTTGTACAAGCTGTGGCTGAAACAAGCGGAAAAAAGGCTGAGAGTCAGCCGCGGCTGAAAGTCGTTTGCAGGACATTTTTCAGCCATTTCCATGGTAATCGTGCGTAAACAAGCGCTTTTTTCGGCTGAATGGCTGAATCAAGCTCAGTGTGACCGCGGCCTTACTTACTACTGGCTTTCCATTCTTGGTTTTTAAATTTCTTTTTCAGGTACGACAGTGCTACCAAGTTGCCCCAGTGGCTGGACACAAAGCCCCACCAGCTGTTACAAACCCGTGGTTCAACAGACACTGACTTGGACTGCAGCAGACCTGAAGTGCAGGTCAATGGTAAGCTAGAATCGTACGAGAGACGCGTATCAGTGCACGAGTGGACCATGGGTAAAGCAGGTGTCAGACACAATCTAATCCTGACAGCATGCTACAATTTCATGCCTCTTGTCCGCCTCACTTATCATAGGCTATTGTATATGCGGATGTGGTCCCGGCTGTCCGCTGGCTCTGCTGGGATGACATCTACGCCGTAGCTCAGTGGTTTAAGCATCGCTGGCCTCAAGCAAAGGTCCCTGGTTCTTTCTTCAGACTTTTCCCTTTTCCATTCCCTCAACCTATGATTGAGTATGTACTCAACCTATGATTGAGTGTGTACTTAGAACTTCCACCTTCCAACCACTGAACCAACTTCTATGAGTATGTGTACATAAACGTGTGTATGTGTGTATGTGCCATGGTGCAGTCCAACGTAGCTTCGCTAGCCAACGGCAAGCAACCCCACTTAGCCAGCGTGCACACACCACAAGATCACGTGACCCTTGCCAAGGTCACTTCTCTGGCTGCTGCCACCGCTGGTCTACCACTGAACTCGTCCACCAACTTCTGGATTGGACTGCAAGATCGAACAAAGGAGAACAACTTCACTTGGGTAAGATTTCACCGGCAAACTTGTCACTCCCTAGCCTTTTAAAGGCTTCTCAGAAGGCATGTGCATATGCCATCGGAGTACTTGTAGTGCCGGCAAAGAAAGGCCGCAGTGGAGAGGTTTTCCATCTATGCTCCTCAGTAATTGATTTTTGCATCCCATTTGCATTCCAGTAGATGCCATCTACATTTGAAACTTCGGGTCAGTTTTCAGTTTGTCCCCTTTGTGTTATTCTCCATGGGCAAACTAGCAACGACATCCAGTCTTTCTAGGTTGATCCAACTTCATGGCAACGTATCTGTGCATTGAAGCCTGTTTTCCACATTTTCAGAAATCTGGTCATTTGCAATCCAGTTCACCTGATCATACTATGGTAGATTTACCATTGGTTTGATATGTGTTACCATTGGTTTGATATGTGGTACATGTACAGTCGGTGATAATTATCTGTATGTGGGTGTGTGCGTGTTTATGTGTATATATATATGTGTGTGTGTGTGTGTGTGTGTGTGTGTGTGTGTGTGTGTGTGTGTGTGTGTGTGTGTGTGTGTGTGTGTGTGTGTGTGTGTGTGTGTGAGTGCGTGCGTGCGTGTGTGTGTGTGCATGCTTGCACATGGCTATAGTCCGATATGAGCTCAGTTGACTACACGGCCTGGTCATCTGGTCAGCCCAACAACTTGGCCAACTCTCAAGACTGTGTGGAGATGCGCGTCGACACCGGGTACCTGTGGAATGACCTGCAGTGCAGTGCTACACGACAATATGTCTGCTCGTTCAGTAGATGTGAGTGTGACCATACTGTATGGGAACACACTCTATAATAGTGGTGTGTACGGGTAGTCGGGTACCCGTGCTACCCGTGAGGACCTCGGGTAGACGGGTACAGAATAGTACCCGAAAACCCGAAGTCGCAGATGACGTCATGTACGGTGCACGTGTACAAATTCATGTGATACTCCGCATGTCTACCCAGTGTGTAAGGGAAGGGGTGCTTTGTGGCGTTACCATGGAACCACTACCCGATCGGGTACCTGTGCTACCTGTGGAAAACTACCCGAACCCGATACCCGAAGAAAATGCTACCCGACTCAACACTACTTTGTAATAGCAAAGCCTTTTCTGCAGTGCTCCTCAATGAATTCGGGTGGAGTGAGTAAGTGTAGTGGCAGGCCCTGTGCCGTCCCAGACCTGTGCACACTGGATTTTTGTAGTGTAGGGCACTGCAATAACCCACTTGATCGAATTTCATTGAGCAACACTGCCCAAAGGCAGGCTATTTAATTGAATGCACTCTGGACAGGAAGTAACTACGCCTGATGGCTTGATGTGGCCACGTGCGATTTCCTCTACTGATTCAATCACAACAGCGAAGGAATATAGTGTTAGTTCCGTTCACTTTCAAACCTTTCTAACAGTCTGCATGCGTCCACACAGTAGACACAACCTTGAACACAGACACGTTGCCCTACCGGTTTGTGAACATGATGGTCAAATCAGCCTTTTTAAAGTCACTCGTTCGCAGTGAGATTGGCAGTATCTGTAGCGATATTGTTCCCCTTTTGCCAGTTTGGTCTATGCGGTAGCCCACGCGTATTGTTTAGTGGAAATGCTCTGCATGAGCATGCATGACTATACAATGGGGTACATGGGGTGCATTATGATATGAATAACTGTTAGATTGTGCAGGACAAAGTTCTGCCAAGTAGGACATGATCATGAGCAGAGAACCGCTCAAGACACAGACTCTCGGGGCTGGCTTGACTGGTCCCACTATGTCAGCGGGTTTGGGGGGGGGGGGAGGGGGGCGCTCCCTCAATAATTTCGACCTGGGTCTGAACAACACCAGGCTGCTGCATGAGCAGTGGGAAACGAGCGTCCAAAAGTGGCTGCACGTTGCGGGAGCGGCACTGATTGCACTGCGAAAGAAATGATCAACTCTCGTACGAGCTCTACGCTTTCGTACGATTCCAGGACGTGCTCGATGCGTCTTGGGAGAAGTGTGCAGTGCACTAGTAATGTGCTGAACGCAGCGCTGCACAAAAGGGACAAAACAAAGCATGTTATCAGCAAGTGCTTCTTTCCGCAACTTTGTACAACGATGTTTGAGGATGATCGCCTCGGAATTCGAATCGTGAATTGGTTGACTTGAATACTTTTCTGCGACAAGTCTCAGCGACATCCAAAAAAGCCTAGCTCTGACCAGCAGAGCCTGGATGGATATTTGCAAAGCGTTCTTGCGACAGCGCAATTCCTGTTCCAACAGGAAACAGTTGGGAGTGATCAAGTCGTTGCAAGTCCGGTTCGGCGCGGACTGACATTCCGCCAGACGCAGAAGCACCTGTCGTCGGTGAGCAGCCAGAACATGATGAAGAACAGCATGATATGCTCCAAAATGAATTTCGGGCACTTGGAGGATGTACTGAGTAAAGTAACAACATGACTGATGACTGCTGTAACTGAGATATGTCTGATCTGGAAGAAAACCGATACAGTCAGACCTCGCTTATCCGGTCCTCTTTTATGCGGATGCCTCGCCATCCGGAAGAAAATCGTTGGTGACCGATTTACCGCATATGCCAAGCATACATACAGTATGTGTGTTCGATTATCCGGTTCCCTCGCCTATCAGGATATTTTTGTCGAAAACGGATGTGTGCGGTTATGCGAGGTCTGACTGTACATGGGATGTGATTGCATGTAATAATAATTATTGTAATGTAACTTACTTGTTGGTTAGCTACGTGACATGTGGGACAGTAACATGATGTCATCTCCCCCCCCCTCAGCCGAATCCTGGACACGCCACAGTATGTTACCTGACAGAATCTGCGTTGAATCCAGACCAGGGCAATAGAAAATGTGTTTCGCGAGTGTGAGACAACACAAAGGGCAGCAGGCCCATGCAGCAAGATTCTGAGCAGCTTTGCAGCAGTCCCAATAGACGGGTAACATCAAAAGGCCACCGTCCTGCTGTGTATACCCTATGTGACTGGGACCCTGTCCGTTGAAGATGTGTATTTCTAAATATGGTATACTGTAAAACCGGAAAGTCTAACAAGTCACAAAGTCTAATTTGAAGAAACGTTATCGTGAACCCGGTGTGTAAAGATGCGCATACATCGATGCATGTTCTGGGTGGCCAGGTAGCCATCGTTACACTTTCTGCATGTTACCATGCCAAAATCACAAAAAAACGTTAAACTTTTTGGTCGTTAAAGTGAGGCTAGTGGTCATAGTTGCTATTGCACTCCAACACCCCTTTCCTGCATGTTGTTCTTTTGTGTTGTTTGAACCAATATGTCTGTGAATATATACAGTTGTTATGAAGTCATCCAAGCCATCCCTGCCAGCTGCTGCTCAGAGTAAGAATCCGGCACCGTGATCAGTACACACGCACACACACACACACACACACACACACACACACACACACACACACGCACACACACACACGCACACGCACACACACACACACATACACACACGCACATAAACACACGCACACACACACACACACACACACACACACACACACACACACACACACACACACATACACACACACACGCGCGCACGCACACACGCACACACACACACATACGCACACATTGGACCTTGGACACACTGCCATATCCTGGCTCTACGGACCCCGTGGGGGGGGGGGGGGTGAGCAGGTTCGGAAAAGTAGTGAAGGCGACGGGATAGGTCCTGTGGTCTACTGAAACGCCGACTGCAATTACAAACGATGCAGAAGGAGCTACGGTGTGTGTTGGTTGCTCTGGCCGAGCCACGGCTGCACTTGTGATGCTTTATGCATTGGCGCGATAGCACACAGCGGTTGCAGCGGGCGCAGTGGAAAGTGCAGTGCTCGCTGGACGTATCATTAGCAACTGGTGACTCCAGTGTGGCAGAAGATGCTCCTGCTGGTGATGTTGCTGCAACTGGTGACTCCAGTGTGTCAGAAGATGCTTCTGCTGATGATGTTGCTGGCGAGCACCTGTGTTGGGCAAATCCACGCTGGCTCCGGAACCATCTGTCGCACTGGTCGCCGTGAATATTCCAAATCAGAGCCAAAGGGGCTGTTCGTACATTACGAGTGCTGTCACAACATGTAGATGGATTGGCGAAAGGGATTTCACAGCAATGAGTGTAGATTTCACAGCAATGAGTGTAGATTTCACAGCAATGAGTGTAGATTTCACAGCAATGAGTGTAGATTTCACAGCAATGAGTGTAGATTTCACAGCAATGAGTGTAGATTTCACAGCAATGAGTGTAGAGCTGCTTCTCTTCATAACCTGCTGTCACATTATAGATCCCCGGCTTGTCATGAACTATTAGTGCGATGGTCTATTCTCCTCCATGCACACACTGTAGTATGAGAGGGATGTGGGCAGGGGGCAGGTCATTGAGCTAGCTGACACCATGCCATGTGTGCATGTGCATTATCTGATTCCCGACATTTGCTATCTGGTATTATAGACGAGTCGTGCAACCCGATGTGGAAGAAGTACGGCCTATCCTGCTATCGCATGTTCAGCGCTGTACGTGTGGACTACGATACAGCCTACATCAACTGCTCAGCACAAGGTGGTGATCTCTACATTGCTAATACAAAGAAGGAGGACCAGTTTGTTCTTGGAAAGTGAGTGGCTAGCAATCCATAGTAGCAGTGATTGTGCAAGATGAAGCTTTTAAAATTCATTTCCCCCTTTTGTACTTATTTCCATAATTATGTATTTATCTGGATATATGACCAACAACTTGGCAAACAGGGCATCGATCTGTGATGTATGTGTACACGCACGTGCATGATTGTGTGCATGCGTGTGTGTGTGTGTGTATACGTGCGTATGTGTGAGCGTGGACGGTGTGTGTGTGTGTGTGTGTGCGCGTACATGTGTGCGAGCGTGGGTGGGTGGGGTGCAGTGGTGTCTATGCATATGCAGCCATATAACCATGAACAAGCTCCTCGTACTCAGTATCGGTAACCTAGCTACACTGGGACATGTGGGAAATAGTAGAGATGGGTGTCAGTACCACTGACCTCCATCCAGCCAGCCATGCCACTGGATTTTCCCATGCACTTGGAAAAAGGACTAATCTCCATGCTCATTTTTTTTATGTTTGTGCCACTGTGACCTCAGCATCGCGTCCGGAAGTGCTTATGTGTGGATTGGCCTATCAGATGCCGACCGTGAAGGCTACTACCGCTGGGCTGATGGCTCCTATCTGCAATACACCAACTGGGGACCCAGCCAACCAAACAACTACAATAACGAGGACTGTGTCGCACTGCACTCCGAGGATGATAGGTGGTATGATCGCAGCTGTGATGAACCACATGCCTTTATCTGTGAGGTACCACTCTTCAGCAGTAAGTCTCCGCTTCCTGTACTGTGTCCTGTTCCGATGGCTGTGATGTTAGTGACTGTCTACAGTCCATTCATAAAAAGATGATACCGGTATCCTAGCTTTCGGTCATGAATGGGTCAAATGTTGAGCGTTTTCACAATATTCGGCAATCCCCCATGGATTACTCTTCCAATTTTGTTTCTGGAGTCTATTTTCTCCAAAAAGCAAGCCATAACAAGAACAGGTTTTGAAAATCCAGGTCGTTCACTCCATTTGCATACCAGTACATTGTGCTGTTCGAATCCCAGTTGATGGTGTACTAGCTGTGCTAGTACTTGTTAGCAACAATCCGAACTAGCGCACACACTGCACTGCATTGCTTTGTACTGCATTCAAGACTGACGTCATGCGCTTTGTTTTGCTGCGTAAGGCCACACTTTGTTTTTTCTATGTTTCTCGTCATCGCCCGCGTAGGTTTTGAGAAATTTCGGAAGAAAAAAAAAGTTCATACTACGTACATGTATGTACGCTGCACATGCTGCAGCAGCTAGATGCGTCAATCAATAATCGTAAACGTTTGCAACACAGCAGCAAAGGAGCGCTTCTCGTCCGTTCTCTGCGATGAAGGCTGTCATGATGAAGCTTTCAGTCGTTCACTGCCTGAGCCTCGTGGGTCCAAGGAATACCGTAAGTCGGACGAGTTCCGTTGCAATTGGCGTCTGTGGAACGATGTCGTAGGCAGAAAATATGAGCAGCATGGAGACAAGAGTTTGATAAATATAAGCGGACACAAGAACGTTGAAGTAACAAAACCAAACATTAATGACGAGTGGGAAACGTTTGTTGATGCGATAGCAGATAAATGTATGTTCTCTTCGCCATCTCGTAATCAAACTTTATGCTCTCATTGTTGCAGTTTGCCTGATATTCGTGGGCTGATGTGATAATGTAGTGCAATCATGTATGGGACTACATGTACATGATTGTACAATGTAGTACTGTATACATGGTATACGCAGTGTCTTGTATGAATCACGCATCTACATGTACATTGAAAAATGTATACAGTTTTCAGTAGAAACTGTTCTTGTTTTTTCCTTGGCTTTTGTTTTTTTCCGCCCGCCCGCGTACCTTTTGTTAAAATTGTCCGACGAGAAACATAGAAAAAACAAAGTGTGGCCTAATCACAAATGGCACCAGCCCATTTTTGCGGAAAAGAAAAACAAATCTTGCTTGCCCTGTTGTGCTCTTCCAGACAACGGATCGTGCTTCAGCAGTGTTTCTTTTTCCACCATCCCTTCCTATCCAACTTATTCACACCATCATAATATTATCGTACCCACTAACCGGGTCCACTCTCACAACTGGTGTTATTTAGCTATTTGCTGCGGCTCTGCCTTGCGCTATATTACATCCATTTAGCATTGCAGCTCTACGTTGAGCTAACAGCAGCTCTACTTTGAGCTAACAGCAGCTCTACTTTGAGCTAACCGCAGCTCTACTTTGAGCTAACAGCAGCTCTACTTTGAGCTAACAGCAGCTCTACCTTGAGCTAACAGCAGCTCTACTTTGAGCTAACAACAGCTCTACTTTGAGCTAATCGCAGCTCTACTTTGAGCTAACAGCAGCTCTACTTTGAGCTAACATAGCCAGCAATCGCATGTCACCACGTACTTTGAAAATCAACATAATTTTTCGAATCGACCTTTTTTTCCGGATCACTTTTCAACGAGGACGAAGCAAAGACGGCCGAACGAAGCCTAGAGGAACAAAATCACCCTCTCCACTTCACCATCACGATACTGACATAGATACGAGATGAAACAACTAAAAAATCCACAAGAAA